CAGTGTTGATAAACCCTTCTCTAGCAAACAAGCTGGCAAGAACATTTCTTCCTCCTGATAGAATTCTGATTTTGCATAGAGTAAGCATTGATGACAAAGTCCCATGAAGACAGTGCAGTGAAACAGAGCCAAGTCCAGAAGCAACAGCGTTTAATGAAGGAGAAAATTGTTTCATTTAGCATTTAGCCCAAGTATCTGGGCACATGGTGACTAACACTCAAATGTATTAGCAGAGGCAGTGGCCTGTCACCTCTGCCTCCCTGCTCTTTGCTTCTGTGGTACCATATGTGACAAAGGGTACATCTGTACTTTGTGATCCATTTGTCTGAACAGGAGCACGTACGTGGTAAGTGTGTGTGCATGGGTGGCTAGTGGGCTGTCAGATGAGATTTCAATACGTGGTTGCAGTGCAAGATGTTCTGGGCAACTCGCATTATAGAGGTGTATGTTTCGGAGCCAGAGGCATTTCCAGTGCAGAAAATGTGCTGGCTGTCTCTGCACGTTATTGTTTTTACATGTTATCATCCGAGACTTGAGAGAGGACCTCTTTGCTATGCCATGGAGGGAGCATGGAAATACATGGATTTCTTACCCCAGGCTTTGAATGTGTTGCCATGCCCTTTCCCTGCTGCATGCAGATTCTGCCTTTATTTTTTCACCTATTAAGGCATCTCTGGCCATTTTGAGAAATAATACCACAGTTTATCAGACAATTTCCTATATGCAGCTGAGGCTCCATTCTGCTCTTCTTTTTATCAAATCCACATACTGGAGTCTGCCTTCCCTATGCCTGGCCGATGAAGAAATGTCTGGGAGAAATGCAACCTTATTTAAGACAGAGGGAATAAAGTTAAACGAGGAGGGACTAAAAAGCATTACAGAAAATGCCGAGACAGTGAGTAGCCCTTTGGTTGGTGGGAGTCAGATACACATTTCCTCTGTCACTTTGCAGTGTGTAGGCGGTATTTCATCTGCTTCTGAATCTCAGTTCCTTGATAACACCAATCACGTATGCCGTACTGTCTTCTTTTATCTACAGCTGTCCTATCTATTATGGCAGTCCCTCTTTGATTGACAGTTATCTATTTTTTGCTGACCTGAGGGCAAGCTCATTGCAATGCGCTCCCTTCAGTGCTATCGCTGAAACGCATCCAAAAGCTTCAACTGGTGCATAATGTGCCAGTTCAGCATTTGAACGAAGTGAGCACATATTGTTGGGAGCACACACGTCGATTTGTTGCTCTGCCATGTCTACCAGTTAATGAAAGACGCAGTAGTAGAAACAGCTCAGTGGCCTGAAATGCTGCTGTTTGCAGAGAGTGCTTTCTTCTACCTGTGCCCAGTTGCTATGACATGAAGTGTTGTCCTCCTGTTCAGTCACCTCCAGAGACTTTAACGTTCCCTTGTTGAGGATGAAGAATTTCCTGCTGGAAAACATCTGCTTGAAAAGCACCAACTTTGGTGGCTTGGTTTCTGTGGTCCATGAATATACAAATCTAGGAATGCTCCCCATACTCAGGGATGGACTGCATTCACTACCTAAGTCCTAGTCTTTCAATATTGAAGAATGAAAATTATGCCTTTTATTGCACTTCCTACTGCTGATTTCCGCCTTTTGCCCTTCTAAGTCCCCAGGTAAGGATGCAGTTTGCCACTGGGGTTCCTCTACCATCAGGGTTCAAATTCCTGGTGAGCTCAGACATAAGGCATTTTCAAATTTCTCTCTAAAATGCCAGGGCAGGGAGAAACAGAAGAGGAGCTGGGACTGGCCTTTCTTTTACCACTCTTCATCACAGCTGTGCAGCTGTGTTCAGAGAAGCCCCAGAGACCAGGCATGGCTTACGAGAACCCTGCGCACTCGTTGGAGCAGAGAGTATGTGCTCATTTGTTATCGTGGATACTGGGACACACAGAGATGGGATGACAAAACCTGGAGATTTTAATGGCGTTTGATAGCGTCTTTTCTTCTGCCCCATGATAATGGGCAAGAAAGTTGATCTTCTTCTTCCCAGCTCCTCCAGGTCAGGCCTGGGAGTCCATGACGAGAACCCTGCGCACTCGTTGGAGCAGAGAGTATGTGCTCATTTGTTATCGTGGATACTGGGACACACAGAGATGGGATGACAAAACCTGGAGATTTTAATGGCGTTTGATAGCGTCTTTTCTTCTGCCCCATGATAATGGGCAAGAAAGTTGATCTTCTTCTTCCCAGCTCCTCCAGGTCAGGCCTGGGAGTCCATGGGAGGAGCAGGAGATGCATTGGAGCTGCTTATGCAGCATTTGTTCCAAGGGACCAAGCAGAAGCCACCTCTGGATCTGTCACTTCCCTCACAGCTCCTGAGTACGGCATTTTAAAACAGTGAGCCTTGGAGCTTTCTTCATGGATAGGCTCTTGGGGTTTGCACAGTCATGCCCAGCGTAGGAGTGTTTCTCGATGGTGTCTGTCTCCATGGATTCAGAGATGACACCACGCTTGTATGTTGTCTCTCTTACATTACCACCCCCGTGATTAAGGTAAAGATCCTGAGTCACTCTCAAAAAAAAGTAGAATTTCCGGCAAAGCTGTAGGCCATCTGTTAACGTGGGCAGGCAAGAAGATACTGGGTAGGAAAACTCAGTCACGTGGCAGTGTTTATATCTATCACCACAGATATTTCTTTTAACCGTGTTAAATGACATTTTAATTATTGTCTAAATTCTTTTTCTGTAAGAAATTGTAGCAAACAGCAAGGCTGTAGTGAAATGATTCCTTGAAGTGGGACCATTCCTCAAAAGTCACTTTATGAATATGCAAATCCCATCTATTTTTTAAAATGCCATTCGTCTTACTGTTAGAGAAACCTCTATCAAAAATCAGCAGATCTCTTTTGGAAAACAAACTGAATTTTTCTTCTCCCTGGGTTGTAGCACATGAACTGTGTCACATTCCTGACACTGCAGGTATTATCGGTGCTGAGGCATGGTGGCACGGAGCAGCTGCTATCTGATACAATGCAGTAGGAAGTGCCCCGAGCCCAGTAATGTCTACTTGCGATATGTCTTGTGCAGTGTAGAGATACAGTCTGTACCGCTTCTGACAGCCACGGCAGCTCTGACTCCCTTCTCTGTTTCTACCAGAAAGTGACTCCTCAGAATTAGAATCCCTTTGTGCAGTCCTAGCCTGCGAAGGCAGGGATATTCTTAGCAGTACTCTGTAGACTAATATTCCCAACAAACTAAAAATATCAAGCCAACGCAGACATCGATCTGCTGTTCTAACCCTAAAAAGCTGTGCCTAGCACTGGTTTCTTACTTATACTTGCTGTGACCACAAACCTTTCCTTGCCTGTACTGGATTTTTAATTTCAGAAATAATCTAAGAGATGCGTGTAGTTCTAAGGACTATGGTGCGTGCTTGGATGGCAAGTTCTGCCCAGAAATGTGGTGGCACGAGAAGGTGGCTTACTAGTTAGCACTGGTTGCAGCATTGATTGCAACAAAAATGGGAAAAACCAAAATCACTTCTTTCACTACAGAAAGACCCAGTTCACTGATGATCAGGTTGTAACTAGATGATATGTTAGTAAAGTGTATTGAAGACTGACAGTCGCTGGCCCTTGCCTTCGTGAAGAGCCCTGAATATCCCTCCCTGCAATGGGAGACCAGAAAGCAGTCACACTGCTGTGAGCAACAAGAACCAGAGAAGAGGTGTGCTCTCTGGGTGCCTCTGTTCAGTGATGTGCTGTTCCCTAATTCTCTCTCCTGGCCCTTGCTGCAGCCTCCTCTCCATCTTCCACCACCTCCAGAGGCTGCTTCTCAGAGTGCCAGGGCTGGGCAGAGTCCAGCCAATCTGTCAGATCTGCCAGGGCTCACGATAGAGAATTTGCACAGGTTTTGTACTTCTAGGACAGATTTTGTTCAGCAACTGGAGGACAGAGGATTTCTCAGCTGGCGCAGAGTTAGAGCAGTCTGCACAGACAGCATCTGCTCTGGCCCAAGGCCTCGTGTGACAGGCAAGTCTGAACCAGCACAACAGCTGTGTGCTTGAGCAGCTTCTCCAGTTGTACGGCGGAGGTGTTTCTTACCTCATGTCAGAGAAAGTTCTGGATCTATACTACCTAAGTCTGGCTCAAGGATTTTCAAAAGCTTGCACAGACTCTATAATCCCTCTCTTGCCTCCGCCTGCCAAGCCTTGCGGATGGAGCATGCCTTGGCTTCAGTTCCTGCTCTGCCACAGCGCTGTTTGGCTGGAGACCAGCTGCACCTGCTGGAGAGAGACCTGAGGCTTGCAACCCTGGTAGGAGGAACATGCTTTTGGTACACTTAGCAGCAGCAGCATAGTATTGTGGGCTTTCCCTTGTGCTCGAGGGCACAGAATATGTATGCAACTGCAGGACAGGGTACGTCTGTCTGTCTGCCTTGGGACTTAACACTGAAGACCTCTGGCTTTCTCATGTGACCTGCTGTGTATCAGCTCACATATCAGGACTCCAGTAGAGAGCTCTATCTAATATCCAGTTATCACTACAGAGGGGAAGCAGGGCATAATTTTTATGCTGTCATTGTGTAGCAAGACGATTTCATGAGCTGGTAGTGAGGCATCTGAGCTGAATGCTGCCTGCAGTCTGCGACCAGGCAGCTGTAGCTACACTGTTGTTCCAAACATGACAGATCCTGGAGTGAGAGAAGGAGTTTCCCTGCTTCAGCTGGCATGAAAACTGCTGCACCTGGGTGGAAAATGAGGCTTCCACCTTTGCATGAGACTTGTAAGACTCAGTGAATGTGATACCTGCTGTACGTGGCTCCTGGTATGGGCAATTGTGTCATTTAAATTGTGAATACTCTTAACTACAACACTGAAGTGAAGATTAAGAACAATGAAACAGGAAAACTGAGAAATCCTGAGTATGCTTCAGAGTCCACTGCTGTAAGTGACCCTCTGAGAAAAGGGAACAGATGTTCCTTATTTCACAGTTGATTTCAGACTCCCCATAAGCACTCACCTTCTCAATGCAGCTGTGTCACTGGTGGTTCCTCCCTGTCAAGGCTGTGTCCGGTGTCACTGCCTCTGGGTGCGAGGACAGAGCGTTCCCAGCAGTCAGGCCCCTGCAGGGGGGTTCTGCATAGCTCCACGGCCCTGGGCTGCACTGCTTGGCCTCCTTAGGCTGCAGAGAGTCAGCGAGAGAGACACTGGTACTGTATGAAGCTGGTGAAAAAGTAGCAGGTATGTCTGAGCAGACAGAGCTAAAGAGAGGTAAAAATGTTGGTCTACTAAGAGTTGTAGCAGGGGCAGAGTCGCTTGGACTGAGATCGAATGTAAAGTCTTTCAAATAGGAGAGGGCTTCATTATTTAGCTGGGCGTATTCAAAATTTATCTTGCTTCTAGCGACCTCATCTAGGATTTTTGCTCTGCTTTTCTGATCTTCAGAGCAAATTTGCTTCTCCTTTTGCTTCAAATGATACAGACTGCTGGAATGCAGACTTGTCTCATAGTTGTATTGGTTTGTGCTAGGAATACTGGAGTATGCTGGATTGGGGACAATGCAGTTGCATTCATTTTGCAACAATAACTTGTTTTTATACTGAGACATCTTACTAATGATATTGTTCATTTCATTCCCAATGCATTTGTCTTCCAGGTGCTTGTTTTCGTAGCTGATTTTTAAAGATGCCACTTGTGTTACGCAGTGCTCCAAGAGCTGCACGATGTTAGTGCTGCTCTCTGTTGGCGTGGGGCTAATGTAGCTTTGGAAGCGTCTGAGAGTAAGAGGCTGCAGCGGTTTGTCACAGGAAATAGAGAGAGAGCGATACATTGATTTATTTCTGTCCTCGGGCTCAGGGGGATCCAGGAGTGAGGTTGCAGCAGTCTTGTAGGAGTAACATGACTCTACTTCGTGATTGTCATCTAATGACGGGTTGTCAGAGCTCTGGGAACTGCTCTCTCTGTTCAGCTTTTCTGGCAGTGGGTTTTTATCTCCGAGTATCTCACATCCTTCTGAAGTTGTCACCTTCTCATTCTCAGTTGAAGATGTCTGCAGATCGTCTCCATTAGCCTGGGATTGTGGTGGGTAACTTGATGATCTGGTTGTTTCCACAGTTGCAGGCACCGTAGATGAATCCTTGTGGTCGCTCCCTTCCCTTCCTTGGAAATTCAAATTAGATGTGTCAGGGCAAGAGTCCAGGCTGTCATCTCTTTCAGCAGCTTTTACTGAAGAGGCCTGTGTTGTCTGTTGGCTTTCATCCAAAGACACGTGTAGGTTAAATGTATTAAATTCTTCCTTGCTCGCTTTCTCCTGCTGAGTTTCTGTGCTCACTTTCTGTTCTGGACCGGTGCTGGGTGGGATCGATGAATCATTAGGCTTTTCCGGCTGTGATTGAGGACTCTGAAGAGAGTCAGGGGAGGAAGCAAGTCCCGAGTGTTTTCGCAGCCAGTTTATTATGCCCATGGTCAGTGAAAGCTCGGTGTCACAGAGCTTTAGCAAACACTCCTTGCCTTTCCATGTGCTGTGGAAAAAACCCTGGCTGATAATGTCTAAAGCTGGTTGGGAAGCCATGTTCTCCTCAGCTCCAACGTGAAAGCTATAAATGGACAAAGGGATTTCAATGGCTTGTTCAGAAATGCTTTCAGATGTGCATAAGTCATCGTCTAGGACTGGGTTTATTTGTACTTCGTTTGGGTCATAGAAGAGCTCATAAAGAGCATCTCCACTGTAGCTGTCTCTTGGAAATCTACCTGGCACCCCAGGCGTCTGAGCTTCCTTCACTTCATCCTCTTGTCCGGGAGAGAATGAATCATAGTAGCCTTCATCACTGGTGGATGTGGATTCCTGGTTGTCGCTCTTTGGCGTTCCTGTTTCTGTGGAGCAATCTTTGGAACTGTCACCATCTTTATCAGGTGACACTTGGGGCTCTGTCACAGGTGCAGCAGCCTGGCTTCTGGCTTTTTCCACATCAGCACTCGGCACCTTCAGTAACTTCTTATCAAACAGAGCGCTCTGATGCAGCCTCACTGATTTGTTGATGTTGTCCCAAAACTTTGCAAATTCAACCGTCTCATTCTGGCCAGGAGAGGCCAGCTGCTCCACACCCCCTTGGAAAGAGCCCATGACAGGGCTGTCTTTGTGCTTGCCTCGTCTCAGCAAAACTTCTTTGCTGTTTTCCAGCTCCACATGAGCAGAGCTCTCATCGGCAAAGATCTCCCCGCAGCCAGTGAGGGAGTCAAAGCTCTTCAGCGAGGCGACATCTTCACACAGGGTGTTGCAGTAGTCGTAGGAAGAGTCAGACTGCAGTTCACTGTCTGAGCAGTCTTGTGACAAGCAGTCAGCCACAAATGTTTCTCCAGTTTTGAAAAAGTACTTTGCAAGACGTCCAGAAAACTCACTCTTGCAGCCTGGAGAAGACAGATTCTTGTCCTTCTCAACCAGGAAAGTGAGGCTGTCTGGTTTATTTTTTCGTATATGAAATATATCTCTGAGCCCTTTCTTAGATCTTTTGAGGGAAATCCTCTTCCTGGGAATGGTTTTTGCGACTGCTGGTACAAAAGGCATCTGTGGCACAAAGTTCCTGTAATCGATCATCTGACTGCTGCAGGCAGACTGGCTGGGGCTGACCACACACTCCTTCTTACTGCTAGAGCTGGACGTCCCCGAAAAGCTGATGCTATTGACAAGTCGCCCCTTACCCTTTCCAGAAAAGCCTTCCTCATACGCCCTGCCGCTGGGGCTGCACTGCTCTGCTTTGTCTGCCTCAGGAACGCAGTCATGAGTTTTGCTCTTCCTTACAAGTTTGTAGGAGGACCCAGAGGACTTTTCCAGGTTGTGGTCACCAGCTCCATTCCTCGCTGCCCGGGTAGAAAATCTGTAGTTCTTGTGTGTGGCCAAACACGCCAGCTGGACTTCAGCTACGCTTTGCTTTCCTTCCAGAGCTGCCTTTTTGTCTTTCCCTGTATCATCTTTGTTGACAGGAGCTGTGTGCACTGCTGGCACTTTCTCGTGTTGCACAGGGGACTTGATGAAGGTCTTTCCTCTCTTGAGCTCCATGTTGCTTTCTCACATCTGTTTCTGTCAAGAAAATGGCAGAATAAAATTACTGTGACGTTGGTTGCCAGCACTTGTACACTTTGAAAACAAGTAGGGAACACAGGGACGAATATTAAGCATTATACAATTGGTTTTGTTTGTCACCAGAAATTTCAGTCACTGAGTCATGGTATTGCATGAGAAACAGGTCAAGAGAAACTGAAGGTGTGTGGGCAATGGCTGGAAGATCCAGCACGGAGAAGATGATTCTTACTATCGGTTGGATGCTGAGGCTCAGAGAACATTTTGTCTGCTAGAAATTAGAGGGTTTGGGTTTGCAAATATGACTGTGGGATGGCTTTTGATGAGATAGAGGTCCCTTTCTGGAAGCAGAAGAGGCATCAATGAAAAGCAATACCTGAAGAACTTTAACATGTAAGTGTGTGCATCAGGGAGGCAGCAGTTCATAAATCTGTGCCTTGGAGGAGGACAAAAAGCTCAAGGTGGGAAATCTCCCGAGAAAATGGAGCAAACATTTGACACATGATGCTCACTTTATATTAAAATAATCCCCACCTGTGGATAGAAAATCCATAAACCTTGGTACTACCTTGGGAAGCATGCTGAAACTGAATTACTGGTTTTGCTTCTTCCTGAGCATAATGTGTAATTTTCTTCACTACTACTTTTATGGTAAAAAGTCAAAAATGTCACATGGAAAATCATTGTTAATTATGACTGAAGTATAACATGACACTTTCAGTTTTCCAGCGGTTATTTCATGGACACATCTGATCCTTTCCTGCCTTTATCAGCTTGAGTATTAAGTCAATGGACTTAGATAAAGGTAGGTCAGGGAAGAAGCAAGCACTTCCTAAAACCTGTTAGAGAAACCAGAATTTTACTGGATAGGAAGCAGGACAAAAACTTCTGTTGTTGAAAGAATGTGCTTGGATCTTTCCTTATTGAGACCTCAGCTAATAATTTCTTTTGTTTTCAATTGTTTAGATGAAACTAAAACCACTTAGAGCCATTGAACTCTGCAACACACACATACAGCACAGTGCTATCTCTAGCACTCCTTGAGCACAGCCTCAGATCAGATCCGTGGATCCAGATCTGCACCCAGTACAAAGCCAGCCAGGGAGATTTTAAATTCAGCACCAAGCTTAGCCTTTGTACACTCTTAAAGTACAACTTGAAGCAGTCTGTAGTCTGCCTTGAACTGTCTGTAACCTCCAGAAGCTTTCCAGTTGCCAGGGCTTGCTGGGAACGGGAGCACTGAACCAACATCTCACAAGATAGGGGTCTGTGTATCTGGGAGTTGTGTTGCCTGCAGCACTTCTCCAGCAAGGTGGATCAGCGGCAGCCCGTTCCTTATGGAAGCTGCAAACTGGCAGGTTATTAGCAATGTTTACAACTTAATGTAGGTCAGTGACAAACAGTAGAAAACACGAAGGTAAAGTGTGAATATTTGACGTTGTTAGTAGGGATGCTATGGAAAACGTGGTGGGTGGTGATAGATGGGTGTCTATCAGTGTGGTTGGGATGTTGGCACATTTATTTGTGTTTGGGGCTGCATGTGAGTATTGCAGAGCATTCTTAACGAAAGCCAGTAAACATTTTACTACGCTGTCAGGTATTTGGAGTTCACCGATGCTGCAGGAAACTTGTTTTGCATATTTAGAAATAGGTCACTGGGACACGATTACACTTCTCTTCTGAAAAGCAAGGTGTGATTGAGAAGAAATTCAGTGTGCAGAGCTCCAGCAGAGTTGTGAAACCAATCAGAACCAGCTGACACAAGACCAATTGTTAATATCCCAAAAATAAAGTGTCTGACATCTCAGTCCTTTGCAATTGTAGAAGTAGGTGCTGTGTCCCTGTGGGAAGCCCTGCTGCCAAGAAGCTCCTTAGTGATCTGTGAATGCCAGTGTTAGAACAGTGTTATGTAGGACTCTGAAATCCTGCAAATTCTGCTCATTCTGAGTACCAAGCAAGGGTCATTTTTGTAGGAAATTGCATGCTCGGAAAGTTTTTGCGTACTTGGGAAGAAGGTGCATTAAAATGGCTTTTAGAGGTGGATTTCTTTTATTGTCAAATATGAAACGTATTAAAGCTGAGAATTCAGGACATCATTCGGTAATCCTTTGAATAGAGAAATCTTTGATCTGAATTGTATCTCCTTGATAAGAAACACAGTGGACTACCAGTTTGATAACTGGGTCTAGAAATGTCAAGGCTTGTTCTTCTGTCTTTTTTTTATAGATTTGATGAACAGCTTTAACGTGAAAGCCCAAATGGCCTGAATAACATCTGTACTGAGAATATATGTAGTATAATAATGTAAGATACACCGATGGTAGCCTATGCTACCTTTTTAGTTTCCTCTGATAAGGAAAAAAACATTAAAAAATAAGGTGGTGTTTTGGTTTTGGTTTGTTTAGGTTTTTTTAAAGGTCTGCTATACATTAAATCACCAACTTTGTATTCTAATTGTTTAATGTCTCTATTTAATCCCATATATTCTTCTCATTTTCCCCCAGGATTCATGCCAGACTAATTAGTATCTAGTTCATTGTGTCATCCTGCTTATCCTGTTTTAACACTGGCACAGCTTCGGGAATCTTCAGCATTAAAAATGCGATTAAAAATGAACACCAAGAAAGAGGAGGTGTCCTCAGTCAACAATTTGAGGGCTCTTAAGGGCAGACTACAAGCATCTGCAGATTTTTTAAAAAATATTCATCTCAGGTGCTGTTTTGTAACTTTCCATACTATATGTTCCTCTTCATCATCATACAACATAAATTATCAATGAGCTCCTTTCCAAATGCAGAACAGAAATGTTTATGCGACGCCACTCTCTTTCTGTGTATTAATACTTGTAGCACTTTTGGTATCAATGGACTACACTATGATACCTTTTTTTATCCTTTCTGCACAAGTGATATCTTTAACCCAGAAGCTGTACCAGTGAAGTTAGAAACAGATTAAAGTGCTGTAAGGGAAAGTTACCCTCCAGTGGTTATGTAAAGCTTATCAAAATTCTATGAAAAATTATTCTAGGCATTTAAAAAATGGTACATCTTCCCTGGGATTTCTTGACCCATGCGCTCAGCTACGCTATTGCCTATCTCTGCTCCTTGTTAATTCTTCTTCTCTTGGACTAAACTCGCAGTATATATCTTCTTCCACATGGATAAAAGGTATATGAGGGGCTGATTTCCACCTTTGTCAGGGAAATGTATTTTGCGATTAGGAATCACTGTAAAGAACAGAAACCTGTGGGAGGGAGCAGTCAGTCTGCTAACTGCGTTGTTCTGTTTTCAACAGGCTCTGGGTGTTTTCCTCATTAATGGTAGTTCACCTCTTTCTTTAATATCTATAAAATTACTTATGGAACACATACCTAAATAGAGGACCTTTTTGAATCTTATACTGGACTACAGCTTAATTGTCATTTACAGTGATCTTAGGTGCAGCAGCATTGAGACTTCTCATCTACAGTAAACAGGACTTCTAGCTGTCTTGATCATACCAGCTGCAGACTTTTAGGATTTCACAAGTGTCTAAGCAGGCATCTAGATCCGCATTTTGGGCTTATACTGTAATAGAAATAAGGGTTTGGTTTAAACTTGAATAATATTGCTCATAAAATGCAGAGATACTTCATGCTCAAACATATGCCATCTGTGCAGGGTTTCTGATAACATTTACATAAAAGCAGAAGGCTTTACTACATCTGTGATTCATCTAAAAGTAAAGTTTTAGAATGGGAAGGTGAACACATTCCTGTGCGATGAGAAGACTCGGTTTCAGGACAGGCAAAGCAATTGCTTTTAGTTCTGGCTTATGAGGACCTGAAGGTATAGGGGGAGCTTTGGGATTTGGGCTGGGGTCAAAGTTGTTCTCTTATATCTTACTAGCTTATCTCACAGTGGAAACGTTTGTTTAGGTTATCACCAAAGAGAAGGTAAAATAGACTGTGCTTTAATGTGTCAGTGGCTAAAACAGCAGTCCTCTTGGATGTACCTGTAGGAAGATCACCCTACTGGGAAAACAGAAGTATCTGCTTCAGTGAGGTTGTATGGATAGAAATAATACTATTATAATAGAATAATAGTATTACGAAGAGGAAATTTAGATTAATTCTCTGGCTTCAGCAAGCTTGGATTAAATTGCTTTTGCTTAAGTTTAAGAAAAAATATATTTAAGGTTCATTTATACCAAAATCTTATCAGGCCTCTGGCTTGGCCACTCTTACTTCCTTGTTTGATGTGTAATGTATATATAATTGTCTCTCTTGGAGATAGAAGTAAGCAAAATTCAGCATACAGTTGTTGTTTTGCAAGGAAGATAGGCATGCTCTTTCTGCTTCTTTACAGTTAGATCATCCTTAAAATTGGCAGGTTGTGGAAATGGTACCCTGCTGTCTCTTGCTAAGCTGAATTCTGCACACCATTTGGAGTCTTAATTTCACCTCCCTCCAAGCATTTTCCTTTTATTAAATGAGAGAGTTGGTAAACATTGCATCCTCTTTTAGGATTCTTAGTTTAAAAAGAAAGAAGAAAGTCTATTTGGACTCCTTTTATGGTTTAGGATACAAGTTTGGAGTGAGTCCAAAATCCCTTTTCCACAAGTGGCTTCATATCAGTCAGACTTAAAATCCTGAGTATCAGAGTTACCTTTGAAAATGGTACCCCTGCTTTCCAATCAAAAATGCTAGGATAATTAAATATCCTGAAAACCTGTATCTGGTTTGAGCCTTTGGACATGTATTATGTTTAAAATGCATGCACTTTAAGATTTTTTTTTTAATATTTCTTGAGAAATTGTGTAATGTGATAGGGGAAAAAGAGCAGAGCACTCCAGAAGGCTCTGCCTTCCTATGCCTGGTTAAACTCAGGAGAATTTTTGCTGGGCAGCAGTTGGAAGTCCTAAAATGCAAAAAGAAGCAAGCATGAGGTGGTAAGAGCCACAGCTACTTTTAAAGTCAATGGGCAATACTAATTTTTAAT